GCATGTGGCCTCAGTGTGTTGCTGTTGTCTTATTGCTGTCAGCTGACTCCTGGGGACCTCTGCGTGCAGGGTAGGATTGCTCCACTGCCGTTTCAAGGACATGACCTTTCAGAAGCCCATCACCAGGACTGTTGTCTGAGCCGCGCTGGGTGGGTTGGGTCAGTGTCAACCGTAGTCCAGCGCTTCACCCTTTGCACCACCAGGGACTCCCTGCTGCTGTGTGCACCCTTATTTATTTAACTGCTTCCCTGCCGTCGAGCACTGCGTGGTTCTCCACTCTGACGGTAGGTGGTACTGTATGAAACATCTCCAGAGCGTTGTGGAAGCGCTAGACGGTGCAGGCCACCGACATGCTTCTATGAGAGCCCAAGCAGGGAGAGTGTCCCAGCACAGGTTCACGGAGGTTCAGGATGGGAGCCCTTTGGGTTTGGTTACTTGGCCAAAGTGTCTTATTACTTATTTTTAGACCCTCATATGAATGCGTGAGTATGAATTAAGGTCTTTTTAGCCATAGTTTTGCATATTTCTTATGGGTCCATAATAAGTTCTGAATTAGATCTTGGGGTCTCCCCAGCTTTCTGAAAGGCTAGACTATGTGCACATTTTGTCAAGGTCATTAAGTGTTTATAAGAAGAAGGTAAGCCTTTGACCATCAGGAAAATGAAGCTTCAGTGAGGTGGGAGAAGTCCCACCTGTGGCGTGGTGAGAATGCCCACGGTGGGGGACGCTCACCCCTCAGTCAGTCTGCAGCCCGTCCTGGGAAGGGCTGCACCCTGCACTGAGCACACACTCACCCCTGTGACCCTGTGTGTGGCTGCACACTCTGCCCTGCTCCTGCTCTCACCTGCTGAAGCCTCCGTGGCCTCCGGGTCTGGGGACAGGGCCTACGTAGCACAGCTCTATGGCATTTCACTGTGGATTGAATAGCCATCCAACTATTAGTCCATGTTTAGTCTGTTTCCTAGTTTTTTCTCTTATAAATAAAGGTACAGTGACCTTTTCACCAGGATCTGTAGGTCTGATTATACCCACCAGTTACAAATACTCACTGGTTTCCCTTAAAAGAAACCTTTCATGTTTAACAATTAATTGCAGCCTCTCCAGAAGTAGCAAATAGAACACTGAACGCATCGTGCCATCGTTTCGGTGCTACAGTTATCAACTCCTGAACAACTGGCACGACTCACTCCCACGCTCGCCCCACCTGCCCAGAGTCTGTGGAAGCGAGTTCTCAGCACTGGAACCTTTCCACAAACACAGTGCTTCTGGAGCCAACTAGGCCTGACTAGGAAACAGACCTCTAATCTGTCATTACGTGCTAAAGGGTAGGCTTGCTTTCTTTCTGTCAACAGCAGTGTTTTAGAGTGTTTGGTAAGTGTTCTGTTGCTGACATATCTCTGTACACACCTGCTAGGAGCTCTGGTAGCACTGTGGTTAACCACTCAGTTGCTAACCGAAAGGTCAGCAGTTCGAACCCCGACCTCTCTATGGCAACACGTGGCAGTCAGCTGCCGTAACTATGGAGTAGTTCTGCTCTGTCCTGTGGGGTCTCTGTGAGTCAAATTGGGTGCACTGTACTTACCTATTAGATCACCTGGGTTATGCACATTTCCCATGCCTGGCTTGTTTTCCTATACTTGATCTAAGATCAGAGAGTTTGAAAAAGAATCTTGTTTCATTTGGCTTGCATTTTGTGTGTTTCAGAGGTTCATTTTGGATTTACCAAAACATTTATTTTATCATTTATACATTTTGTTGTTGTTGTTGTTGTTGTTTTGTGCCGTCGAGTCAGCCCCGACTCATAGCGACCCCTCCTTGGGTTTCCGAGGCAGTATCACTACGGAAGTAGG